AATTATCAATTATAAATATAAAAAAAAAATATAATAAAAATATATTTTACACCGGAAATATTTAATTTTGCAGTCTGTAACGATAATGAAATAATTGATTTTCATTTTCTTTCATAGAATTGAATGAACTCATTATTATGAAAATAGAAACTAATTATTTTGTAATCAATTAAAAGTTAAACTCCCACATGTTGGCAGCTCAAATGTCTACCCTGAAGAAGGTCGTTGAAATTAAAACAAAAAATTTCAGATATTCAATTTAATTTATTTAATACAAAGTTGCCAACTTTAAAAAAAAAAGGAAAATATAAAGATCATTTAAAGGTCCAATATAACAAAAAAAAACAATTTTCCAAAATATAAGAATAAAATGAATCCACAATTAAGGTCTAAAAGAGCCGCATAGACTGTCACTTGAATTTATCATATAACCTTATGAGTATAAATACGTTTAAGGGGATCTAATCTTAGGCTTATGTATAATAGACTCTTTCATACTATAAAACAATAATATAAATTTTATTATATTATTAAATATAGTTTTTTTTATTAATATTTCAATATTATCTAATATATTATTGTAATATATCTATAATGTATATGTAATATATAATATTCTATAAAATATATAATATATATTTTATATAATATGTATACATAATATATTATATATATATATCAGTAGTAATATGACAAAAAATATTACATACACACATATTATATATATAAAAGTGATTATGTATAATTTTTTTAAATTATTTAATTTATTGTACACAGAATACATACCTAGTAATATGTCAATCGGTCGTAAAATAAAATATTTATCTCTTTTTCGTACGCAAATACTTAAACGTATTTATGATCCAATCGTCATTAAAATACTCTTCAAATTTTATAGCTTTTCCATAAAAATTACTTTAATCTTTGAATGTAATCGCTTAAATTTATGTCATTATCTGAACAGAATTTGAAGTTACAAATGTTAAAAGTATTTTATTAACAGACCTCTTAACATTTTTGATTGCCTAGAAGTATATAAGCATATTGTCAATCTTTTATGTATAATATGTATTGCTTAAACTGTATATAAATTAGTATGAAATATTATGGATGTACAAATTTTTGAATAATAAAAGCAAGAATATATTTATTTACTCATTAACTGAAGCAATGATGCTTGACTTAAAAAATAAAGGTTGCTGTATTTAAAAAGCACTTTTATAATAACCACATCAACAGTGTAATCTATTACTTTAACTGTTACATCGCTACTCTCACAAGAACTTGATTCCCCAAAAATTGAATACCTTTTCTGGTCTAATAAATAACTATTATAAAATCGAAAAAATATTTCTATTGTTTCTCTCAGCACTTTTATTGCTTACTTAATGATGGCATTAGTTAAAAGTCCTCTATTATTATTAGAAACAAATCGTTGAGGTTATTTATCAACTCTTCATGTTAATTATACATCATTCATATGAAATGACTTATTGAGATATTTGAGATAAAACTCAATTTTTGCTTCACCATATTAAATCTGGAAAATAGGATGAGATGTAAACCATTTTGAATAAATCGTGCATTTTAACACGGTGCATGGTCTCAATATGCACCACCTATTTTTCTTGCTTCATTCTTTGCAATTTCCTCCTTAAACCGCACTACCAGATTTGTAATATATTTGTTCTTGACTGCTTTTCCTTTTTTGGTGAAGGTTATATTATACTTTTCAACCACTTGCTGTCGACTCTGCACTGATCACACCGTCTTACTCTTCAATTTCTATGCTGATGCTGTAGTTATTTGCTTCTTTATAAGATGTAATGAAGGGAAATATAAAAGCACCTCCAATGTATTAATTTGAGTAAGAAGATGTAATGTTCCTTAGCCATAATGATTATCACCGATAGAGACCTTGTAAAACTTTATAGATATTTTTTTGTAACCGTCAGCATATTTTATTTAGGGTAGATTCTTTTCCTTATCTATTGCTTTGAATATAAAAGCAACATGTATATAGAAATATATAAACACATGTATATTTGGAGAATCTATAATACATTGCCAGTAAATAGCACCTAGGTATTCGATTTTTGATATATGTTTTATAAAGATTGGCAGTTTAGTATATCAGAGGAATTTTTTTACCAGACGACATCTATGTACTTATAGACGGCATCAGCTTATATATTATTCTTTGTGATAAGTATTTTTAATATAGCTTACTTATCTGAAATGATGTTTCTTATAATACTAAGTGAAATTCAAATATGAAGCACAAAAAAATTTAACATTTCTATAACATAATATATATAAATATCCACCTCTTATAAATTGTTCTGTTAAGTACAATTCTTGATATATTCATTACCAAACAAAAAGCCTTAGAAACCATGTATGCCTTACGCATACTCTATCTTTAGAGTTTTGCAAAAAAGCTTCGTCATCATACACAGGCCAAAGTAATTTTTTGGAAATTAATAAATAACTATTTCCATTAATAATAAATTATATTAATAAATTCTTTACATTCCTGCTGATATAAATGACTGTAAAGAATTGTTCTTCTTTCACAAAAATATAATTGATTTGTGTACATTTTTTAAGTGATTTTACATGTACACATGTACTTCTTATGGAACATTGGAGACATATAGCATTTTTCTATAAATAATTTATCAAATGTGTTTCTCACATGTTCTTTATCAATCACTAAATTCGAGGAAATAAAATCTTTATTAAGGCTTAAATCTAAGTCATAATAATTAATATAATTGAATCACTGTGGAAATACCAAGATAACTCCGCCTGTAAATAAATTTTCTTTTGATATATAATTTCAAGACTTTAAACCTTTCATATATCAAATATTTTCTTTTACAAAAATCAGATAATATCAAATATTTAAATACTTAATAGGGCCAAGGCAATATATAATACTTTATCTACATTTTTTGGTTATTACTTACATAGGTTATTGGCCTATGTTTACCTTGTCTTTCGTATCCATAGTCAACATATCGATAATTGCTTGTATTTATTTGGTTACTACTTAAGATAATAGAATAAACATAAAAAATATGAATTTATTTTTACATATATTGGCCTATTAATAGTCGATTGTATCAGTTTGTGTAGAATGTTCGATAAAATTCAACTACGTAATGAGTAGTTGAACCCCACCTGCCGATATTTTTGCTAATAACTAATGCAAATTTTCTTTGCTATGTAAATTCATGTGAGTTCTTATCAAAAACTTATCAGAATTAGCAGTTTTTTTATAATATCGAAGGGATTTCATAGTAGCACATTTTGTTGAAAAAGAAAAAAATCACAGTACTACAAATTAATCAATTAAAAATTAATTAATTTTTTTTTATTAATATTTAATACTATAAAAGGCCAAAGATAATTATAATTTTCGTTAGTTACGAAACGAACGGCAACGCGATATAATTTATTAAAATCATGAAATACATTTACGGTTTTCTTTTCTTGGTGCTCTTAGGCGCTGCAAGTGTGAATGTAATTAATTTATATAATATTAAAGAAATTCATTTTCATTTCAATTAAAATATTAATTTACAAATTGGAATAATTTTTTTTAGTGCAATCCTGTTGCGGCTTTGGCACAAGCCAACTTGCAAAAATCGCTCTCTGATTACTTAGTGCAACCAAGTGTATTTGCCAATACTGATCCCGCTCTCTCAGCAGCATGTTTCAACAAATACTTACCAATCTTGTCGGAAATTGCTAACACCTATTCCGTACAGTACCAGGCTTGCGTTACAACAGCTGAACAACGTACATTAAATCTGACAAATCAGGCCGCAGCTAGCAAGACAACATTCTCTCAAGAGACTCAAGCTATTTGTACCGCCTTCCAGGTTTGCGATAACGACACAGATATACTTGATTCATTCAATTGCTATGCATCTGCGGTGAGTTAAAACTTTAATAATTATTTTATATACATAATTTAAAAAGAATTTTATTTAATTTTTCAGTCCAAGGCTGATGTATCACAAATGTATGATATCTCAAGCAATGCTGCTATTGCTGCCAATACCTTGAACCAAGGTTTGGAAGAGATTCAAAATGAAGAAAGTCAATGCACGAACGCTACTCAACGTACATATGTTTCCGACACTGCATCGACATATGATCTCCTAGATTATTGCTTACAATATGGCCTTACAACCGACGATACAACAGTTGGCACAACGGTTGAAACAACTGATGACACCACTGAGGAACCAAGCACAACTGTCGCCGCCTCAAGCATTGTTGCAGTCTCTAGCACTGCGCCAACTGTAGCTGCAGCCGTCAATGACTTTGTTGTTAAAACCGGCTCACAAAGTCAGAGTCAATCTGGTTCCGGCACTCAAAGTCAATCACAGTGCAGTGGCGCAGATTGTCATGAATTTAAACCATTCAAACCACTCTTCCACATGCCAGCATTTGCACCGTTTAATTAAATTGAAAGCAACATAAATATATTTTGAATTCCCTTCACATTTTCGGACTTGTAAATTATTTGAAATTATCCGCCGTCAAAATTTAAATAGATTAAATTTTTAAAATAAAATCAGATCCAATACGAACAAAATTCAAAACAACGAATTTTATTTTCTTAAGTAATACTAAACGAGAATAGCACTAGCACAGATGTTGGCTTTGGCTTGGCCTCTGCTTAGATAGCCTTCACGAGGAATTTTTAACCTTCATTGAGGTCTTATTTATATGATAATATATATTTCATGAAATAAGAAAGTATTACGAAGAAAGGCATGTTACATGTTAGAAGTTTATTTGCGAGTTATATCTAAATCCATACTGATCAGCCTTATTTATATTGCATAGGTTGCATTATCAAATTATATTTAAGTTTCGTATCTGAAGTACATAACAAACAATCAATAAGGTTTTTCTTATTAAAAACCTGTATCGGAATCACCAGTTTATATGGCAGCTATAAAATCAACTTAGACCCGTATCCATATCTTGGTTATGTATTAAACATTTTCCCGATATTGCCGGTAAGGATATGAACTGCATTTAAGGATATGAACAAGACATTTTTTTCTCATTCTAATATAGTTCAGTGGGTAAATATTTATTTTATACAAATATTGCAAAATTTGTTTTAATAATGACAAAACTTCCTCTATGATATTAGAGTTAACTGATTACTGGTTACAACTATAGCAATAAACTATCTATGTACTACAGATGCTGTGCTCATCGATTACAAAGCAGCTTTCATAGCCCCATAAGGGTTCGCGTTTGTACGGTAGTGTCTGAGCTTGGTATCCCTGCAAAATTAATACGACTCTGCAGAATGATGTTAAGCATAATACCTCTTGCTCTGTCAAGGTAGCATCGAGTCTCTCCGAACCTTTTGATAACATGTGAGGCCTTAGTCAAGATAATCCTTTATCATGTGATCTCTTCAATTTCGTCATGGAAGTGATGCTCCGCAGGGCAGTTTTTCATCGTAAAGGAACAATATTTTACAAAAACTAGTTACTCCTTACTTACACCGACGACATCGACATTATTGAGTATAGGAAGCATGATCTTACAGCTGCCTTTGCTGCTATCAGAAACAAATCAAAAAAATGGCTTAGCTGTGAATGAGGGCAAAACGAAGTATATATCGGCTACTGTTAGAAATATGCGACGTTCGGATGCCAAGCTACAATTAGAATGTAGAGCTCTCTCTTGAGAAATAAAACTTAAGCTCAATACGTCTCTTATCCAAGCTGCGCTTCTGTATGACGTAGAAGCATAGACGTTATCACCGATTGATGAATTAGCATTGTGAGAAAGAAAAGTTTTTTAAAATATTTTTGCTCCTCTATGAGTTGGCGTCCGCTACCACATCTGAATAAACTATAAGCTGTACGATCTTTATCACGATATGGATATAATACAGTGAAATAACGTTTGGCGGTTTTTCTGTAGTTGGAGGAAGATTGTGTTTCGGTGGATTGATCAAGTTGATAGAGCACTAACCGGACTTTTTGCATTTGGCTCATTCAATTCTACGTATCGTGTATCGTTTTATACTCCAAATATTGGAACTTAGAAACTTGGCTTGTACCACTTCTTAATCGTCTGTTATTGTTTTATGTTCTCATATTTTCAATATTGTCACTTTCACTTCTTACTTAAGTGTTTAGACAAAATATTATATCTAAAGTACTTATTTTACAAAAATCATGTAAAAAAATGAAAGTAAAACCCAAGCTATTGTTACTAACCGAACTAATTTCGTGCGCTAGCATTCTGTACTCCAGGCATTATAACCTATAATGTTGGGTTTTACTATTCCTTAATTTTGTATATGTAAGGCAATAACTAATATTAATAATGCTGAAAGTGATAAAAATATAAAAGATAAATTAATATTTTTATTACTATTTTTTTTTGGAAAAATGATTTTGTATGTATTTATTATATATTTATTTCTGAGGTCCTCGCTTTGTATTGGCTCGCGTGCTTATCTGGTCTGGACAGTTCTGCTTTGGCTCATAACATAAACAGTTAGCATTAACAGTAGGCTTAGCTTCAAAAATATTCTGTTCGTCACAGCAGCTGATGTTTATAATGTTATGGATTATGTTAAGAAAATCATAAGTTGTGCCTGTACAAAGAGTAGTGAGAATTTGCATATAATTTATTATGGACTTTAATCTAAACTCTTTTCTTACGTCAAAGCAATATCAGTTTTATAATCTTTAAAACTTTTAATAAATACTGAGACTAATATGTCAAAAATTTTATCTTAGTAAACATAACTAAAATTATTAATAAAAATAAAAAGAAAAGTTTAGAATTGTTTGAAATGTTTAAAATAAGTTAATTAGTTAATCCCTGTTAAATTGTCATATCAATTATACTTAATTATTATCGAACGCCAATTAGTACTAGTCATATGCTGACTAATTTACTTATTTTGACTATATCATTTTTAAAAATAATATGTGCTTTTCAAAATCAGAACTAATTTTAAATCAATAACATTTCAGTGGTACTTTTTAGTACAAATTTTTATACAAAGTCCACAAGTCAGTCGAGGTGAAAGTGAATTAAAAAGAGCAATAAATATTTTCGAAATAGTTAAGATTTTATCATTTCGTGTCCTGTAATTTGTTTGGTTTGTTGTTGTGTTTAGCAGATGTTACAGATTCTCAATATAGATTTTACATAGTTTTCACTTACTTTTCACCATTTTCACTTTTTCCACTTTTCCACATTTGCAAAGTACTTTCCTTTGCAAAAACTACGCTTATTCGATATTAATATGAAATTGTTCTGTTCTTGCTCCCGTGCTTGTTCGCAACAAGTTTATTGCAAGCAAAAAACTATTTATGTTTTTGCGATTTTGGTACGAAGTAAGAAGTTTTAAAGTTTTGTCTAATCCGGAAGATACGCTGAGAAATTCCAGAAAAAGTTTTAATAGTTTTACGAGTGTCCTTACTAACTGAACTGAAAAGAATGAGTCGAGGGACAGTGCGCGAAAGCAATACCCCAGCAGCGAAGCGCTAAATGTTGCTATAAATGGTAAATGTTTTACCGAAGATACTTACTAACTTGGCTTAAATGAAAACGGATATAATATGGAACAGCACACATACTACGAGGCATTACCACCAGCACCAGAACTGGCACTGGCGCTGGTTCTGGTTATGGCTCTGGCACACATGCACACGAGTCTATTTGCGCAAGCCATTATCTGCGTTAAATTGTGAGAAAACATAAAAGTTTCTGGTTGTTCCTTGCTTCCGCGTATACAGAAGCACTAAAAAATCCTGACTAGAAAAACGACAAAGTGCAGAAGTACACACAAAAACTCTTAAAAGTTATTTTAATTTTATAAAATGATGAAATCATATTTTCGTTAGAGTTTCCAAAGATTTTTATAGCGACAAAATGCATCTACGCTCTTCATTAAGAAATTATGAAGAAAATGCACGAGTATTAGAAGAAAAATAAATAAAAATATTTGTAGATTGAAGAAGAAAAAAAAAATTAAAATTTTTTAATGAAAATGTGATGGAAATTTGGTAAAATGAGTTAGCATTGTTGGCTTCAATGTTTAAAATAATGCAATATGTGAAATTGTTTAAAGAAGGCTTTGGCTTTGTCTTCGCCTTCGAGAGACAAGAAACTGTGTCAAAATTTTGGCATGAAAATAAAACTTGAAAATACTTTATAATTCACTTAAAAACTAATTAAAGTGTATTTTTGTTTTCAGCAACAAAATTTACTTGTTTTGGTGGAAATTTTATATTTTTGAGTGTTTTGCGCCGCGAGCAAAACTCGCAGTATTCCATCTTCTCTGGGTCTGTTGTCTCTAATTAAAAGCCGCAATGCAATATGACTTTTAAGTTGATAAAGTTAAGAGAAAGTTTTGAATTTGATAAAAATAATTTCGTTCTATTAAAACTATTAATTGAAAAATACGTTTTGCAGCACAAAAAATTTTTTTATAAAATACTGAATTTGATTAGTTCATGGTAACAAGAGGCTAACAAAGATGAAAAATTTAATCCTAAATATAAGTTAAATATAAAAATTTTAAAGAAGAAAAAGTTGTAGTAATTTATTAATTTATCCAAAATTTTATCAAATTAATTAGAGCAAAGTTCAAAATCTATTGAAGAATTTAGAATAAAATAATTGCAAATATATCGAGTTCCATATACCAATTTAGTATTTAAAATATTAAAAATATGTTAAGATATTCAGTAAGTCACTTTTTATGCTAGTCTTAGTATTGCGAATGAGATTTAAAAATATGGAGTAGTGCTACCTACATTATTTTTAGCCATTACTGTGGGCTCAAATGTTCTTGCCACCACTTTAGTAAAAATAAATTATTTACATCATTTTTGTATTTTTGAAATTTTTTTCAAATATTTAATAACGAGAGAAAAAAAAAACATGTAAATTTCAAGATTTCTACATTCTCTTAATATCAAAACACGAAACTTCAGTGATTGAAACAGTCCCAAGATCAAACAGTGCGTAAAATTTTAGCCCCAGAGAGCAGCGGTCAGAATGCAGTGAAACTCTGCACAATTATCAGGATTGAGAACGCAATTTCTACTTCGATTCATATCCTTTTATAAATACGATATCAGTTTGTCGGCTATTTTTCCAGTCCAGTACATTGGTAACACAACTAGTTTTGTTAGCCACTTATTATATTAAAAAAATTCTTTACTCCTTCTTATCATCCTCAGCTTTACAAAATATGCAACTGGTGATTCTACTTTGCCCATGCGGTAGACGTAGCTGCAGAAGTACACAGAAACTGACGAAAACCGCAATTGACCTCTTCGAAATTCCTTTGCTTACCAATTTTTCAACTCTGGAATGCCCATTGTCTGGGGTTATCGGAGTACTTACATTGCAGCTATACTGTTATGATCTTATGCCTTATCGACTGCCTGCCTCTACACTGTTTCTCATACGCTTTGATTGCCATCATGCCTTTCGATTTTGAGCAGCCTATATAACAATAATTATTAGGGTAGCGATAATGATGATGCTTATATGACGAAGCTGATGACAATGATGATCATGATGATCACGTTAACCAAAA